TACCTATGTGGGGGCCGCCAAGCTCAAAGAGCTCAGCCGGAGGGCAACGTTCATCCGGGTGACCCAACAGTTCAACACCTTGTTCAGCTAACCTTGCGGACGAGGTGAACGACCCCGCTCATGGAAGCTTCCACACACAGCTGCTTTCCCATCTCTTTCCTTCTGTTACATCAGAGCTTCCGGCTGCTCCTGAATGTTGGAATGCTGCCTCCTCCTCCTTCTGCTGCCTGGAGGCTTTGGGGCTCGCCCTAGTGCCTTTCGGGGGGCTGGAAGCAGGGCACTGATAGGATCAGTGGTCAGAGCCCAGCTGTCCAGAACTCATCAGCTCATTGTTAAAAGTAACACTTGCACCTTTCTTTCTTTTTTTAAAAGAAGATGGTTTCACTTTAATACAATGCTGTTATCTTAAGACATGCTTGAGTGCTGGAGTTTGCGTTTTCAGGAACCAAGTTGTAGAGGAAGCTGGGGCTTTTAGACCTTTCTCCCAGACATGCTAGTGGTGAGCCTCTCTTGGGTCTAAATCAAGGCACCTAGGGAGGGGAGGGCCGGGGAGGACAGGGGGGAGGGGAAAGGTTGGTGGGGCAGGCCACAGTCAGAGTAACTGGCACCCCCTCCCTCCAGCGTCTATGTGCTGGAAAAGAACAAACGCAATTGGCTGGACAGATGAACTTGAAGAATTGGTTTCCCCACAGATTCAAGGTGTGGCAACGTAGTTTCACCATCTTTGTTACATGTGCCTTTTGGGAACAGGTTACCAGTTTGGTGCTCCTGGGAAGCAATCATTCCAGACTTGGTTTTTCACTTAGTTTTGGTTTCTTCCATCCCTTCTCCTTCCCTTTTCAGTCCCAACTTGTCAGACTGGCCTCTCTCTTAAAGAGATTATATATTATTTGGAAATTCCACAGTATGTTTTATTGAAAGGTTATCCACCAAAAAATTATCAGGTAGAGTTCCACTGAAAAAACAGCAAAAGCCTTGACCAGGGGCTTCCTCAAAGGCATTGGTTTAAAATATGAGTTAGAACCATTTCCTTGTCGTGGCAATTAATACTTTGAAGGCAGGACCACACAGTACTCTTATATAATGGTCAACTCCTTGACTGGTAACAGTGGCGTTTTCTCGGAGAAAAGACCTATGGCCTTGGCAGGAGTCCTACAGCAGTCCCCTGTGGCATTTGTTTAAACAGTGAGCATGGGTGGATTGATGGTGGCTGGCCACTGTTTGAAGCATTACTTGAGTAACAGGACCCGGAAGTCTATGCAGACCAGGATGTTTTACTGTTTTTACTTCTAAGGAAGACTATAAAGAAGCAGACAGAGGAGTAAATTTTCTTTGAAAAAGCAAGTGACGGTCCTGGAGTAGGGAAGGGCCACACGGTCCTGCTGTATGAGGGCCAATTCATTGCCTGATGTCCATGGTGACTGACACCGTATGACGACTTCAACCAAATAGTCCCATTCCGGGAAATCAGAGGTCCACTTTCAGTCTTACAGAAAATACATTTATAGATCCAGCAACTTTAACTCTGTTGTAATACCTTGCCCCTAAATGTATTAGGAGTAATTCTTGTCCTTGTAGGAATATGAATGGCTACACTTTAGAGATATGAGGGTCAAGAGGATGTTTAATGCAGAGCAAGACGTGGGGCTGTCCTGGAGGCACCCGCCTTTTCTGTTGGCTGCCTGAGTGAGGGGTGAGCCCCATGCTGTCCTGTGGAAGATGTGTTTTACATTCAAGCCCTTAAGTTTGTTAGTTTTATGAGTTTTTTGATTGCAAAATAAGGCAGAGAGGTGAAAGAAAGGAGGACCTGAAGAAATCCATTTCAGATGGACCAGCAGTGGTCAGTAGTAAGGGACTGTTGTTACCAGTGACCCCTCTCAGACTGGGCTCCTGTGCTACACCCAGTGTCCAGGGAGCGGGTCGCTCTGCAGCCCGGTACGGCCCCTTTGGGGCCTCTCTCTGCAGGGTTGTGTGCTTGCGTTATCTGTCATGTGCAAAGATTTTGCAGACTAGCTCTTTGTTTCCACAAACTGGAAGGCAGGTTCCTCACCTATTCAGTTTTTAGGGAAGTGAGAACTGAGTTACTGAAAAAGCCACAAACCCGTCAGGATCATTTTGAAGCAGAGGCTTCCCAAACAGCAGCACTTCTGAGGCGCCATCACCTCTTGTCTGTAGCCAGTTCACCTCTGCCTCCAATTGGAATGGGCCTGGGGGAGCCCACACCAGAGCAGCTCTCATACCAGGTTATCACACAGGACACAGAGATTGCTGCCTATTTGCAGGCCCTCCAGGGAAGCAGTGGGCAGGGAGGGCGAGGGCGAGCCTTGAACTAGATGCCATTCACCTTGGTGCTCCTGCTGTGCTCTTAATGGTTTCAAGGCCTGCCCCACTGCAGCATGTGAAGCAAAGGTTTTTTTCCCTAATCAATGTGACTAGTTCAGGGTAAGTTTTACAGCCATTGGACCCCAAACTTGTCAGGACCATTAGCCTCTAACATTAAAACAAGACAAGGAAGGCAGCGATTCGGACTGCTGCCCCAAACTTGTCCCATGCATGTAGCATGTCCACCCAAACTGCCCTGGAGGAGGAGGGAGCCATGGGCAGCCCTTCCTGTCTGGCTTCCAGGCTCACCGCGTCACTGCTGGTTAGGTGCACATTCTTTCACGTACTGACATTCACAATGTGTCAAGGCCTCAGCTCGCAAGTCCTGAGAGGAGAGTCCTGATGAGATGTCCCTAAACACCTAACGAGGAAGACAGGAAAACGACAAGTTACCCTTTCCTCCCTGGGCTAACTGAACGTGTCGAGTTCTCTTCCACCTCTGCAGACCTTACAGCTGCAAGGCTTTGCTAGCCACACACACAGATGGGGGCAGGGGAGGTCACTGAGGCACGGGTCCTTGAGGAATTACTTTCTGGGACAACTGCTAAGCCCCATCTTTCTGAGATGGCACAGTGCAAAAGCTGGGGTGCAGTATTCTTGAGACAACCTGCTCGGTGACCCCTGCTCACTGAGTTTCTAACAGGCACAAACTACAGGAAACGAGTGAACTTTCTGCCTTCAGATGTAAAAATGAGTTTACAGCACAACTGCTGAATGTATCGATAATGCTACATGAGCCCATGAAGCTGCCAAATGTTTAGAAACAAATATCTCTTGTAAGCAGTGGTGTTCAGATAGGAGAAATAAACAAGCTGAACGAGGCAAGACATCAGATGTTGAAATGTGCCTTTTATCTCAGAACCTCATCATGACCCACCTTCCCCACCCCCGCCAAAAAAATGCATAGTAAAGGCAGTATCTGTCACACTCCTCCCCTCCCCCCCAAACCTACCCAGTCATCACAGTGAAGGTAAAGAAGGAAGGATTCCCAGCATTTTCTCAGCCTCGTCTGTCTGCGAGGATTGGACATAGGCAAGGACAGACACATTTTGCAATTGGCACTGTTATTTTATTAGTACGAGTATACTGAAACAATAAACTTGTACTGGTATACAGACAATTTATTTAAAACAATTTTGTTCAAATTTTGAATCAAACATTGTTTTATTATAATAATGAAATAATTTCTACCTAGAAAACCTGCAAGCACCATCAAAGAAAGGGACCATAAAATTCAATAAACAGACTCGAGTGTATCCTACAAATAGACACACCACGATTAGAAAATAGAATATGAATTCTTCCATTTTTTAATATTTGTTTTAAAAAAGCTAGTGCAAGTACAATATTTTACACTGGAATTACAGAGAGTGTGCACGCACATGGAAAAAAGTTCTCCTGTCACAATAAAAGCTCTTAACTATGTATGCACTTAATATTTTCTTTTCAATAAGGTGCAAAACATCACTCCTTCCCCAGTTCTCCTCTGTACTGGCCATGTCAGTCTGATAGCGCCCTCATTTCTGGTGTCTCTTTTCCCTTGGCCGGTGGGAGGCATACGCTTAGAAGTTTTGGTGGGTAATGATCTGATATTAAAATATCCATAGGTACGAATCTCAGAGATGGTTCTGGGGCCAGGATCCCACTGGCTAGACATCAGGACTCTGTTTTAACTAAAGGCCACCACGAAACTAGCAGGGGTCTACTGAAACCTCCCTTCAGCTAACGCTCATTTGGGTTTACAGGTGAGCAGTGATGGCTGGGGCGGAAGAAACCTCCCCGAAAGGCCAAAAGGGCAGTATTCACAGAACCGAATGCACAGGTATCAAGTTTACTGTTCACTGACTATAGAAGTTACCCCACTCCGGGACCGACCAGATGATAACTGAAGAGTAGCTGGTTCGTGTGAGAACCAGAGGAAACCTACACACCTGACTTCTTGGTAATTGCTCTCTAAAGACAACGACTCTAAGTTAGTGTCACCTCAGACCTGATTTTCCAGAGGACAGTATGTTATCTCAGCAAAGGTTACTGTAAACAACGCTTCCAACGGAGGCCTTCAGACTGGCCATGGAAAAGGAGACAGGCTCATTGCTATCTAGACAGCAAATGAACAAACTGAAGGGAAAGAAAACTTGGGCGAAGTCTCCAATTATCTGCAGTGGAAGACTTGAGTCCTTTCAGCCAAGAAAAGTTATGGAAATTCTTAGAGACTGTTATTGTATAGATACTACCTATTGGCCAAATGCACTTAATTTTAATACAGCTTAACCATTTGTATGCAAGTCAAGAGGACATGAAAAACCGAAGCCACTGTTCCCTCCCGCCATTGTACAGGTGAATGTCAGCTACCAGAAACATTGCGTTTAACAGTGAGGGAGAAGGTGAAGAGTCTGAATTTAAGAATTGTTGGTGGGTGTGCTCAGTATCCCACAGCTGTCCAGTATCCACTGGCTGGCTTGATTTTTGGACAGACTATGACTCTTTTGAGAAGTTGCCCCACATTTATTTTGGCCTCGATATTAAAAAATTAAAACTAAAAAAAATGAGGCTTTTAAATTGAAATTCATGTTTTACCCCCCCATTTAAATGAGGTGTGGGGGGAAAGAAGGCTGAACTTTTTTTTTTTTTTTTTTGTCCTCATAATGAGTCCTATTTTATTGGTAGCTAGGATCCCTTGTTACAAACACTTCTTGTTCAGGATTATATTCTTTGGGTTTATTGGAACAGGAAGTGCTGAAAATGTCAAACATCATCTCTGAAGAAAAAGGAGTTGCAATGGCTTACGAGTTTAAACTAAGAAGGGAGCTCAGAGAAGTCCTTTCAGCATAGGAATGAACAGTGTTCTCAAATTGCAGAATACAGAGTGGCCCTCCCTCAGAAGAGGGCTCTATGTAACAAAACATAAAGGAAGCATAGGTATAGTTTAAGAGCCTTTTACGTAGTAATTCTTCCAGGCCATAACCATACAAATCTGATCACTTAGACATGACAAATTTCTATATACAAAAAAAAAAAAACAAAAAAAAAACCAAAAACATGTAACTTTCAACCTTTATGCTTTTTTTTTTTTTTTACAAACAAGGTATGAAACTCATTGTTTCAACAGATCCATATCTTTCAAACACTGAATGAATCATCTCGACATTCATTTTTCTTTTGTGCAATTTTTAAAAACATTACCTGTACTCCTCAAAGTGAGTGCTTCAAGAAATTTTTTTTCTTCAGCGTCTCAAATTAGGTGTACATTAAAAAAACAAAAAAAGAAAATCCCCACAAGGTCTAGTGCTACAAGAAAAGATCCTATCAGTAAGGTAACATATTTGAAGCGAGGTCATCTATGTAAGAAATCTCAGCTCCAGAGTAGAGATGTGCAAATTGTTTGGAGTTTCCCTATCAACAAACACAACACTGTCCGTGGAAAAGAGAGGAAACCAACCCAACACAATAGCATATGCATGTGCTTTATAAAAAAGTATATTCTCTATCTTTATTACTTGATGTTGTCTTAAAATTCTCTATTTCAGAAATTCTGGGTTGAAAACACAAAAGGGGAAGCAAAGGGCTCCACTCCACTTAAAAAAAACAACAAAAAAAACAATTCCCTTTTCTTTCATATCACCATCGAAGAAGCTGGATCGGGCCACGGAGACTGCTGGCCCTTTTTCACCTGGAATCATTACGGGTGACTGGGAAATAGGAAATGCAAAGGCTTTTAGGAGAGAACAGACCGCAGTTTGTTGAGCTGCTTGCGGTTCATGAAACAGTAGCCATGACGACCAACACAGCTCAAAAAGCCTGGCCTTCTGTCCTAAGAGCTCTGCTTCTCCACCCAAATCTGAAATAGCATGGCATTAGTGTCTTCAAAAAGCATTTGAGATTTTTCACTCTATGAAAGAAATAGGTTTCCTTAGTAGTCACAGATGTTAAAGGGTATTGTCAATTGTTTCCTTAAGAAACAAACAAACAAAATTCCAAAGCTACAACAACAAAAATAAATTTTGGCAACATATTTCAGTAAAGATCTAACTATGTGCAAAGAGTGGATTTAATGATTACTAGGAGCTACTGTTCATCGTGAACATGCAGCATTATATTGCAATCTATGCAGTATCTAAGGAGTAATCCACAAGACGCAGGAAATCCAAACATTCCTTGAAGTTGTACAACCCTACTCCAGAGCAGTCAAAGTGCTGCTTCTGGACACATCAGTGTACCACACACACGCCAGCCCCATCCCTGAGTAAGAGGTGTGAAAGGTTCCGCAGAGTTCCTTGTAGGGGAGAAGGAAGATGCTGCCACTTCCTGGTGGGGGGAAAAACCCAACACACTCACCTAACAAAAAACATAGGGTTACAATTCAGAGTTAGAAGTGGGATCAACAACAGCAATGAAGAAAAAAAAAAAAAAAAAAAAGCAAACCATCCCAAACCAAACTGGGTGAGTTGGGGAAAACAAAAAATTGACCAACATATAAAATGATCCTGAAAGTCCAAATGAAAATGCAATTTGGATTTCTGTTTTAAAAGATTTGAGGTAAGTGGCACCCATCTCTTTATCTCCCCCTCCTGAATGTGGCCCAAACTGAAATAATTCTTAAGTGAAATATTCTAAGGAACAGTCATTTCATATATTTAGAAATCCCTATAAAGAGAGGTTCTTGTTTGTTGGTTTCTTATTATTTTTTTTTCACCCTGACTGATTTCTTGGTGATTGTGTTCCATTGTAAACGCAAAAGGCCTGCTGTTATTAGTTTAAAAATGGAGAACAGGAAAGAGAGAACTAAAGGCGGCTGTCAGTAAATATTGCAAAGTGGACATAGTACAGAGGCACATGGCTGATCCTCGTACGCTGCAGGGCACCGGAGAATTTCTACGCCTGTCAGTGTTAGGTTTGCTACCCAGGAATGGTGACAAAGGCTGCTCTGGGAACCTCAGGCTTGCCGATATCTGCAAACAAGAGGAGGTTCCCTGTCCCCTGGATGTTCTTCCTATTTGAAGAGAAAGCTGCCACAGAGGAGTGGTGACCAGCGTTCACAGGTGGCCCCCTCCACAGCCTCTGGCCAGCAAGCTCAGAGTGCACGCACCTGTCAAGCCACACTTCCTGCCCAGGCCCAGAGGCATAGCTCAAAGTCTCAAGGTCACGGACCCGAGGACCGGCCTGCCCACTTTCAGAAAAGACGTGGAACATGGGTTGACCCTGGCTGTGTTGCTCCAGAGCGCGCCTTAGCAATGACTCTGCCTCCTTGCCCCCCACACTCCACCTTCACTATTCCTCGAGGTCACAGGGGGAACTGCAGCTCATCCCTTAGATCTCTTTTGCTTGCTCTTTCTGTCACCTGGTGACAGACACCTGGTGCTCCCGCAGGCTCCCACCCAGCACTCAGGATCCACAGCCGCAGGGGGAGAGCTTGCCGCAGGAGGCTCCTCTCCTCCTGGCTCTTTCCCTCCTGACAAGGAAAACGCCGAAAGGGCACAGAGTTTTAACTAGAGCACACGGATCAAACTCTATTGGCACAGAACGTATTGCACATGCTAAAAAAGCCAGAGAGTGAAATGGGACAACGTTTCGAAAGAGCCAATTCTCTTAGAATTCCTATACCTGAAATACAAGCACAAACATGATGACGATGTTCCTATTGCTCAAGCCATGTATGTTTTCCCATTTCAGAGTTGGTGTTGTGGATCCAGTTGGTTCAACACGCGAAGGAAGCCAAAAGGTGGTGGGTGTTTTTCTGAGTCCACATGAGTGGCTGTCAGTAGCGGTACAAAGGAGGACAAAGTCGCCGTGGCAGCCCCATATTCCTCTTACCATCAAAGGTTATAAAACAACAACAAAATCTAATAACTGCAAGTGCCCTGAGCAGAATATATGGAAGATTAAGCAAGTTCTCTGAACAGAAACGCTTACAAAAATACAGCACTAAATAAGCATTACGACTGCGAGAATGGGCCCACCCAGCTCTCTGCTAACATGCTGAGAGGGTAATAAATTTCGAAGAAAGTCAAGGACTGGTTCTAGTTATGCTAAATCTATTCAAATGTTTTTGGTACATCCCAGAAAATGGTTTATAAAAATCATTAGTTCTGGTGAGAATGAAATGTGAAGGACTACTAGATAGCCAAAATGTGGGTTGACCTTAGAATTTCTTTTTAAATTTGTGAAATGGAAGTACTATTTTCAATGGTAAAAGAAAAATGAGATTAAGCATTTGTTCAGACTAGTTGCAGCCATTCCAAGTAAGAATATTTAAAAATTTCTCCCTACTTATAAAACTTTTTTTTTAAAGCACTTTAAGATGCAAACCCAAAATCCACAAACAATATTTCAGATCTCTGGGAATGAAAGCTTTAAATTATGAAACACCTTTTCTGGGTTTGTACCAAACATTAAATCTTGATTTGATTTCAGATGAAAAAAAAAAGTCATTCTGAAAATAATAACACAGTAATAAAGTAAATTTGTTTTTTTTTTTTAAAAACTTGCTCACATATATAAATGTCTTTATGGAAAACTCTCTCAATGAATCTGAAGAAAATTCTCAGAGTTGTCCTGCTAAGACCTGGTTTTTGTTGACAGATGTGGTAGAAAGACCAAAATGAATTTTGAAAGGAACATAATCTTATAAAACGGCCTAGAATTTAGGCAGGTTAGAAAGTAAATTTGCTACATTTATTTATGCTCGTTCAGTCCCCCAAACCCTTCCCACAATGTTATTGGATAAAAACTGCAGGAATATCACACAAATTATAAACTCAAGATGTGCAAATTGCAAGGTTCTTTAAAAGTTCATCTTAAAAAGAAAAACACTGGACAAAAATGAGTATTCTCTTTTTCCATCCCTTTTCTCTCAGTTTCTCTGCCAGCTCTGCATATGCCTTTAATTTTTTCTCAAACATCAAAGTGAAAAGTGCCTTCCTGTCAGGCTGTACTTGGTGGTCATTCATTGTCACATACTAGTTCATAATTCACATTCATCGTTTTAAACCACATTGAAACTTTCGATATCTTGAGGTGAGAAACTCTGCAGAGCTGAAATGTAGTTACAGTGTTGAAAAAATGAAAGCAACTTAGTTTTTTTGTTTTTCTTCCCAAAGACTTTAAAGTGAGATACAGTACTTGTTGAATGATAGACCAAGATGCTTGGTAATAAAGTGTGAACAGCATTTTAAGTGCTTAGAGATAGTAATATATATGCTCATCTTCAAAATCTAATTCCTCACGTCACACTGGAATCTGAAAAAAGTGGCACCCGAGTTGTCCATAGTCATGAACTATAAACAGTACTAGAGTTAAAAGACAAAAAATTTGCAAACCCAATGTGAAGAGCTTCCGCTGCTCTCTGAAGGACAGTTTGTGTCTACTTCTTGGGAGCGAAGTCAATGCGATAACCTGATTGGTTTTCCTAACACTGCACAGAAATCAGAGTGGGTGTTCACTCTCCCACCCCCACTGCCCACCACCCCCATGTGGAGTGATGCAAACAGAGGCTGCCCTTTCCCCCAGACACCCTGGAGACATCACTGCACTAGTGAAGCAGAAACGAAATCCCACATGTGGCAGTTGCTCTTTAAAAAAAAAAAATCAGTGCAGTCAGGCCCCATAGGGGGAAATATATATCTATATGATTAAAAGTTGCTTTTATTGTAAAATATGTTGGAGGGAAAAAAATATGTTCTTTTACACAGTTAGCTTTCCATCGGCTGTCTGATGTCTTTCTAGGATGCCCTGAAGCTGGGTTCCTGATATTTATCTTGCACGTGAGAACCTCCTGAGGACGTACGTGTCTCTGGGCCTCCAATGCTGTGCTGAGAGCAAGAGAGAGCGAGACGGAGGGAGGCAGAGAGAAAAAGACCCTCACTCACTGTGGCACCCCTGCAGCCCTGCACGCACCCACCCCTGCAATTCCCTCCCCGTAGAACTTTCTCATGAAACCAGCAGAAGTCAGAGCCCAGTGGAGGCTTCTTTGCTGCTAGAAACGGCAGGCACTCTCAAGCCACATTCATCTCCACTAGGATGCCTGGCGCCTGGACTCGCCCTGTTCTGGCCCCCCCGCCCAGCCACTGACAGACGCTCGTGGAAAAAAAGCATATGCACCAGTCTTCCTGCGCAACACCAGCTGTAACTCTAATGACAAGGTTATAACAGAAACCTAAAGGAAGAGGATAACATGTAAATACTGTTATTTAGCCTACAGTACAGTAATCTGGATACAAATGATAAGGGAGGGCCAAATTTCCTTTCCCCAAACTGCCTCTACTTGCCTACATTAGACCGGCCTTCAATGCAAATCTTAACCTCCTGAGGAATTAGAGAAGGCTTAGGAAGAGTCAAAGGTGGCTCGTCTTCCGACTTCTCCAGTTTGCGGGTCTCCGGCGCCGACCACCTCCTCTTCCTCGTTGTCGTGGGCTTGCTGGGTTCTGTTTTGGTGAGCAAGGGCGCGGCAGGCAATCCTAGCTTTTCTGGAAACTTCAGTTCGCCGTTCTCAGAGAGCATCTGGGCACTTCCCTGATTGATCCCGTTTTCCTGCTCAGCATACCTGTGTCTACTGCCCATGAGGGTGTCGGTCTTTGAGTGCTTCAGCAGGACGCTGGAGGGATCCACAGGCTGGCCCTTTTTAACAGAGCCGTTCTTCAAATTCTTGAGGGTCAGCGAGATGCAGACATCCCCAACGGAGAGTTTGGAGCACGGCAAATCAAAGAGCTGGCTGGTTCTCTCTGGACAGCAGGATGACCAGCCCTGTCCAAACACAAAAAAAGGATACTCTACCAAAACCTCCACGCTGACCTGTGGGAACAGTGAGAGACAGAGAGAGGAAAAAGGAAACAAATGAAAACATTTTATTTTGGTTTCTTTTACACACACACAACATATAGCAGCTGAATGGAAACAGTAAGACTTAGCTCCACAAACCTCCTCCACCAACACACACACAAGAGGCTCTACATTTTCTGCTGTACCTATACTTGCCACATACAGGTGTTGGGCAGAAGCCAGGGAAAAACTGTCCAGTGTAAAAGTCCATTCAGTATTCAAAATATCATCTGACTGAGTGTTAGCTCTACAGATGGTCTCCGTTAAAACAAGTCAATCGACCCCCAAGGATGACAGAACATCTACTTAATGTTCAGTGCTGAGCAAGGCTCTGTGGGTGGCTCAAGCCCATGATACGGTCTCGTGCTTTCTTAGCGCACTGGACAAATGCTCTCATGTACAAAAGGGCTGATATGGATTGGAGTCAGACTGTATGTGAGCTCCACAAGGCAGGCACTCACGTGTACCACTGTATCCTTGGCCCCCCAAAGGGCATCTGGCACATGGCTGAAACTTAATATTTATTGGATAAATGAGTGTGTACTCTAGGAATTTAGGGTAGCCGAATCAGTGGGGGCTGGAGTAAGCAGGGAGGGCTTTCCCAGGACCCTGAAGGATAGGCAGGATTTTGAGAGGCTTGAGGGGAGGATGCAACTGAGAGAGGGTAAAATGGATATAGAGAGCTCAAGTACTTGACCCATTTATAAGGTCACGCCCCAGGTCCTCAAACCAGTCTCTGCATGTTTGAAAAACAAATATTGAAAGTGGGCAAAGCCCAGTATCTTTACAATAGCTGCCATTTTCTCCATGTCACTATATGCTGTGCGCTGTGCTAAGGAAATAAATTGAACAAGACAGTTCTAGTTCCAAAGGTGTTCACCATCAAATGGGCACAGGAATAATAGCTGCCAATCAATGTGGTAAGTGGGGTCATAATACTTTGCACAGTATTAAGTTGTAGGAGGACAGGGGAAAGGCATAGATCAGTTTGGAGAAGAGGTGAGTAAGGAAGTCTTCTTGAATGAGGATACGCCATGCTGAGTTTTTAAAAAAATAATGGGGTAAAAAATAATGGGGGTGGGGTAGAGGTAGCATTGCAAGGAAAAACATTCCTGGAAGTAAGGATATGTGAATAAGGGCAAGAAGGGGACAGTGTATATAGGGATTAGTAAACTGTCCACTGAAAGTCTTACTGATGCCATTAAGGCTGAAATGCACTTGAGGTTTTAATAGTTTCATCTTCATAGAAATTTAATTTCTTCAACTTTACGCTATACAAAAAGAAAGAAAAAAAAAACAATGAACTAGCTTAAAAAGTCAATTTTCAATGACTTTTCTAGAAGTAGTAGACCAGGTAATTTGAACCAACCCTCTCCCTGAGGACAACTAAATACTCTGAAACACACACACACACACACACACACTGGACAAAATGTAAAAACATATTTCTTATGGTACTAGCCAGAAAATAAGATGGTAGAAAAAAAAATCACTGGGTCAGGATCAGGAAAGGGTGATGGCCCACAGATTTGAACCTGTTGCTTGGGGCTAGTTTCCCGAGGGCATGTGCACATTCCAAAGTGGAGCAGTTGTGAAACCAAGTGGGCTTTTGGTAATTTCAAGAGCACGGGGATGGAGGATGAGCAAGGAATAGAGTACAGGGTACACTAAGCAAGGGTGCTCTCTGGTTAACCCCCTCTTTTGGGCTGTGGTCCCGAAGTGCTGTACTTTAGTGGTAAGGTGAACCAGAGCAGACAGGCCCTCTCAAGGACCGAGCTCAGATTTTAATCATCTTAGTCCCTAAAATTGGATTAAAGTCTTAAATTATTTCTACAAGTTTTCAAATAAAAGACATTCAATTAAAATGGGGGAAGGAGGTCCATGAACAGACCAGAATACATGAATAAAAACCAGCAGAAATGACAGAAAATAGAAACAGACCCACAGGGGCTTCTGATGTAGAGTCATCAGACATAGACTTTAAAATGACTACATTTACAATATTTAAGGAGATTAAAGACAAGCTTGAGGATCTTGGTAGAGAACTTGAATCTATTTTTAAAAATCCATGGAAATTCCAGCAAAAAATACATGCACTAAAATAAAGAATGTGATGGATTTTCCAATAGAATAAGCATGATTGGAATTATTGAACTGGATTCTTTAATTAGCGCTTTATAAGAAACTATGCAGGATGAAATAAGGAGAACACAAGATGGCTAATAACAGAGGGAAAGGATAAGGCACCTAGAGGACACCTTGAGAAGATCTAACAGACAGAATCTGAATCCTATAAGGAGGAGAAAGAGAGATCATAGTGCAGAAGGAGTACTTAAGGAGATAATGGCTAAGAATTTTCTGAAACTGATAAGAGACAATAAGCTACGGATTCAAGAAGGCCTAACACCCCCAAGCAGGAAAAATAAAAAGAAATTCTCACCTAGGCAGGTCATAGTTTAACTGCTGTAAACCAGAGACAGGAATCTGAAGAGCCTTCAGAACAAACTATACATGATCTCCCAATAAGCAGCAATTAATCATATAGTAGGCTTCTCAATAAAAATAATGGAAGCTAGATGACAACGGAATATCTTTAAAGTATTAAAGAAAAAGTGCCAACCAAGAATTCTATGTCAAGCAAAAACATCCGAGAACGAAGGCAAGATAAAGACATCTTTCAGTCAAATAGTAACTGAGAGAATTCACCACCAACAGATCTACACTAAACAAAATGCTAAAGAGTATTGTTTAGGTAGAGGAAAATGGAAATTAGGTGGAAGTTTGTAGATGCAGGGAGGAAAGAAGGACAATGAAAGTGGTAGATATGTGGTGAATCAAAAATAGTATTGACTGCATACAATATTAAAAATGCTCTGTTGACTTTTATACCTAGGCACACATACACAAACACATAAATAATTCAAATACTTCCCAAAACATAAAAAGCAGTAATTTTTTATCTAATTTTCATAGTTTGTAGCTTTTCCATTTAATCTACAGTATCTTTTTTGATAACTATGATTGATCTAGTTCTAGACACACTTCTTTAATTATATGTTTTATTTGCCCCATAAAAGACATGTGTTTTTATTAGAAGGAATAACTAGAGTGAATTGATATGGAAGCCTATTACTATACTGTGTGAGCCCATATAAATAAATGTACATATTATCTGGGGACAATTTTCATAGTTCTGGGTTATTTTAATAATGTCATGAGAGCTAAAATTTTTGGAGTGCTTACTGTCTGTCAGACATTCAGGTACAAACTTCACCACAAGCATTTTGTTTCATGCTCACAGTATACTAGTGAAAAAAGCACTGTCGTTCCAATTTACAAATAAGGAACTATAATAATCTCAGAGAGAAAAAAATCACTTGCTTAATGTCACAGCTAGAAGCTGATTGAATTGGGATTTAATCCATCTCTTTGGCCCCCCAAACGCATTTTTTTTTCTTACACTCCTGATCTCTGCCTCTGTAAATAAAGATACTATAATACCACCAAAAGAGATGAACTTGACATTCCCACTACTCCCAACAGTGGTGAATGCTACTGGAAATAAATAGGACCCAACAGCATGAACTCATGGATTTGTTTCATGGCACAGAATATTGTGAAATAGTGTTTGCCTTACATCTGCTCATACAATTCTAGCGTCCCCATATGAGTGTGTGACAAGGCTGCTATTCAAGTACAGAACTAAAGTTATATGACACACACACATTTGTATTTGTACATATACATCTGTACAATCATACTTGTAAGTTACAGATGGGGATGCCCACTGAATTCCAAGTGTGAGGACCAACCTGGAGCTGGCTCCAAAAATCCTGTCCCAAACCTCTTAAGAGCCATTGACATCACAAGCTCAGCAGAGGAACAAATCCTACTTCAAGTGGGGATTGTTTAGCTGTATTTCCAAGTCATAAAAACTAAATTCTTAAGTGTAAATATCTCAAGACTCTCTACCAGGCTGTTTGCTCATCCCTGCCTAACACCTAACAGAAGTCACATGGTGTTCACGATACTAGAAGCTCTATTTGCAAACACATTGGCCTTTTTTGGCTCTGCATGTTCCTCTATGACCCCCTGAGTTGGACAGTCTGTCTCCTTGCTGACAGACAGCCCAATGTCTGCCAGTGGACAGGTTCTGGGTGTGGGAGCCATACTGTGCACAATTCTCAGAGCAGCCAATATTTCTTGCTCTGAGAATAACATCTACTGTATCTTCATACACAAGTCAATCTGAAGACTTTCACATGTTATCAAGTATCTGTAGACTCATTAAAGAAGAAATGTTTTCTAGGCCTTTATAACAGGTAACATTACTAGTTACTCCAAAGGCTATGATGTAGATACATGTGCTTCCCATTATATATACCATAATGTTTTGGGGCATTTTAAATACCCTTTATTACTCCCTCATCTCAAAACTCCAAAGACCGGTCTTAGAATTAAATACCGTGAGATGGTCTGTAGCTTGAACAGCTTACCTAAATATTCATGGGAAAAAAAAAAAAAGCGATGAGGGGAAAGAATATTTAAAATACTGGTATGCACTTTAGAGCTAAAAATAATGGAATTTATTTTAACCTAAATAGGTTTGGGAAAATCTATTCCACCACTTCAAAGGCATGCCTTTGTCTCTTCTTCCTAAATTCTGTCTTTGTCTCCTCCCAAAAGAGCTCTGCCATCCTGGGAAGAGATGCCATACCCACACATCCTCAGGTGTGTCCATGCAAGTTAGGAGAGAAAGATTACTGAGATAATCTGATCGCTGTAAGCAGTGTACTGGATAGCTCAGGCCAAATGTTATTTTTGTCCTTACTAATTATTTATCCGCACAAATATTTATCCTCAGATATTTTCCTCCTTCCTAATTATGTAGCCTGAATTACCTCAGATAATGCACTTGTTTTGGTTTGCACATATGTAAACTAAAATAAGTTTTTCCCCTTTCTTTGGTGAAA